TTTCCCAGTTGTCCTGAGATGACACGAGAATATCCGAAATATATTCCCAGCTCACCAGTGTGAGTCCTGAGCACCCATTCCTCCTCCCTGCACAGTTCCCTATCCCCAGGGGGTGAGCAAGACACATTGTTCAGCAGCAGCTTGGGGTGGGCAGAGGAGATATTTATAACTGCTCACAGTGTGCTGTGTGATCTTTGCTATAACACCTGCCCCAGCTTAGTGCTGGAGGTGCCATCAGCTCCTGGGTCATACTAAGTCATCCGCCTCCCCATTGCTCTCTCCTCCTCTGTGCAATACAAATAGTGACCTCTTCCAGTCCCAGGACAACCAAGGACAGCCAAGGGCTTTCAGTTCACCACTGTTGAGGCCAGTGGTCAGAAGAGCAGGCAGGAGCATTCTTCTCACACACAACAGGTCAAGCCAGAAGAACAGCTCCCTCAGCTTCCCAGGAAGCTTACTGTAGTACCTACAGGTGTGCAGCAATTCAGTGGCATTTTAGATAGAACAAAAGCTTTAAAAGAAAGAGATACGTTGCATTGTGGTAGAGCCTTCCTTCTCCTTCCCCCCAAGAGCTGAAGGAAGCCACACCCTATGTGTTGTTTAAAAGCAGACTAGAAACAAAATGCACTTGAACACTCACCATGGGGAAGAGTCATGCCCTGCTTTAGGGCAGTAAATAACTTACTTTGTCTTGTTCATCTCATGTTTTATTGCCTCTGCTGTTAGTGCTTCACTGGACAAAGTGAGCTGGTGAAGCCTGCCCCTTCCTAGGCACAGGCAACACCTCCCCTCCTGTGCTTTCTCTTCTGCACAGCATCATGAGACAGCAGCTTTGGATGTGGCACCACCACACACAGTCACACATCTCTGTCAGCAAGGGCGTGGGGAGAAAAAGAGTGTCAGAGCCATGGGAGCACTGCAGGACCCCTGCCAGGCTCCCTCCTCTGTGCCCAGGGTGAGGGATTGCACCTTCCTCGTGGTTAGTCTTACCCCTGGGAGCTGTGGTCTGTGGAAAAGGAGTCTCGAAGCAGGGTCTCGCTCCCTTGCAAGTGCCATGGGGTTTGCCATCCAACTACCCATTCCCTTATGCTGGTGGTGTCTCTGAATTTAGGACATGAACAAAATCCTCTGAACCTTCAAGACCTCTTTTAAGCCCAAACCAGAAACCACCTTAGAAGAAGCAAAGGGGAAATCTTAGGACCAGTGATTTTGTGGGATACAGCATGTTTGTTGTATGTAGCCGTAGCTAAGGGGGGAAGAGAGATGCCTAGCTTCATAACCATCTTCTTGGACTGCAAAGCACCTGTTTGTTCAAGAGCTTTAGTTCTGGTTAGTTGTTATTTTTGTAATACAATTACCCAATGTTTTTTGGACTCTGACTTGTTTGGAATCACTGCCAAAATAATCCATTCCAAATGCCTTGTACAAGTAGGCAACAGCCTGATGGAATACATCCTGCGCTGATGGGCATCTGCACAGAGCAAGATATGAGCCAGCAGTGACAAAAACATGTTTTGCTCTAGGTTGTTGGCACTGAGGGAAAAAACATGCCCATAATTTGCATTTGTTGTTTCACCCTGGCTAAGGGGATAACCAGATTGATCAACACAAAGAAAGCAAGGTCCATAAATCATAACCACCTTTAAGTCCTCAACAGACGGACCCTAATCTATAACCCAGGGTCCAAGTATTTTGTCTGTGTGTCTATATTAGCTAACTCAATACCCATCTATCTCTTCAAATGAGGATATACCCTTTGGTGAAAGCAGTCCTGCTGCCCATGCTGACAATCCTGCTCCCTCCTGCTCCCTGCCTGCTGACAATCCACTTCCTGGAAGAAAACTGCAAATCCCATGGAAGAGTCCTACAGTGCCAGCTGGTGTTTGATTTGGGTGACCACAAACACGTAACGAAGACAGTGCACCTATGCTCACGCAGCCAGCTCTGTCCGAAAGCAGTGCATCCCTCCCCACATGCTGTCACCACTTGCTGTAGCTCCCAGTGTTAATCACAGGTTTCCCTTTCAAGCACTGACCCGTCCTGCCGGATCAGTCCTGCTTAGCTTTCAGCACCTGATAGGATCGTAAGCTGAGGCAAACGTAAGCAAAGGATAGAAACAGTGGATAGAGATCTAGAATAGGAATTACACACATAGCAATGCTATGTTATGCACAAAGGTGCGTGAAATATGCCTGAGAAATAAAAAAATATATAAATCTGTACAGATAGGAGAGTTGCTCAGAGTCCAGGATATTATCAGATCTGGGAAAATGCCATGTCAGTGAGTCTCTGGAGCACCAGTCAATGGCCATGTACAGAAAATGCCACAAAGCTGTGTGTTTTATTCCCTCTCCAGCATTCATACAGTACCATTTCATGGTTTCCATAAATGATTTACTAAAATGTGCTATGGGCCCCTTACTTGCACTACAGTTATCTGTCCAAATACCCTGCTCTAGCCCAGTCCCTTCTCACACCCTCCTTCCATTTAATAAAACATGTTTTAACGAAACATCTTTTTCAACTCATCACTGGGGAGCAAATGAAGGCCCTTTGGAAAATGTTTTGCATATTTCTTCCACAGCTGCTCTCCAACCAACCTGCCAGGTTGTGAAGTAGCCTGATGCCAAGGAGGGACACCAAATGTGACTGACCCAGCAAGTTTATCTATGCCCTGTTCCTTCAGGAGCTGGAGCAGAGTACCTCAGCTCTCCAGCATATAGGACCTGCACAGCTTCAAAGCACAGCAGATCAAGTCTGGAGTCCTGCTGCCACCAACAGGTTCTGGGGCACAGAGGGCTTGTACATCAGAGATGGTGCCTTCAGTGCCAGCTAGAAGCAGGCAGCCAGACTTGCAGAGATCCCACAACGTCAGTATCATTCATTGCATATGCAACAGCTCAACACACAGGTCTTGGCTGCCTTCTACTGCAGGATGGGTCCCTGCTCTGAGCTCTGCCCTGGGATGGCCTCAGACAGGCAAGGACCTTCACAGCAGGGCAGGTTCTGGCCCAGCTCCTGTGTCAACCACCCCAGAAGGGCACAGGTAAAAGTAAAAGGAGTCTGGGATGAAAAAAAAAAGATGATCCAAGGGGGACTGTCTGAGGAAAGTCTGGGAAGCAGGAGGTCCCCATTCCCAGGCCCACTTTGGTACCACTTCTGCAGCACCACGATGGGAAGAATTACGTGGCCAAGGAGGGCGGCTCCTGCACACTTTGCTCTGTGCTGGGAGCTCTAAGACATACCAGAACGCTTTTGCTTTGAGTCCCACAGGAGGATGGGTGGGAAGGATCAACAGGGTGAGATGCTGCCCAAGTCTACCACCACCTTGGGTGGCAGATGTGGACATGGGCAATCTAAATGCCAGCCTGTCTAGCTTTGTCCCATGTGCCATGGGGGCTTGGCCACTCATTCAATCACCCTGTCCATCCATGCCTTACTGCTAATCAGGCCAGATCACACTGTGTTAGCCCTGTGTCAAGGCAGCCTCCCAGCCCAGGACCTGCGTAACGTACATCTGGCACGGACTGGGAAACCAGACCGTGCCCAGAGGCAAAGATGGGAGCAAAATTTCACATACACATGTCAGCTGCAAAGGCTGCCTCACTGTTTGCAAGGCAGAACTGGTCTGCTGGCACCTGGAAACATTTAGACAAGTTTGACTGGAAAGCACCTTGATGTCATTTGCACAGATTTCCTGCGTATTTTGCATTTGAGCCGGACCACAAAAAGAAATATGCAAAGTTGATGTGTTTACACAAAAAAACACAGGGCAGTGAAGGAGCAATTTTCATGACTGGGATGCTTTTACCTGCCTGATTAATAAATGCATCCTTCATTCTCTACTACTGTAAATTCAGTTGATGGAGAATTTATATCTGGACAAGGATCTGCCTTCTACCTCTGTGTCACAAATTGGTTGTAATAAGCTCCCTGGAAAAAGGACCAACTCTCCTAATGCCTGTGTGTATGTCTGGCACAGTCAGGCAGGGCCTGGAGGTACTGCTGTAATAGCCATCTGTGCCAATGTGAATTGTAGTAAGGAGGATGTACAAAGAGATTTTTGCATCTGCTACAAATGGGTGAGCGTGTAACCCATGAGTTCTGTGTTTAGCATGCTAGAAGAGCCACAGTACACCCTAGGAAACATGTTTTGCTGGTGTGGTTTTGGATGCTGGAGGAAGACCCATATGGTCTGGCATGTTATGTCCCCTCCAAGTGCTGCTGCATAATCCCATAAGGTGATGCCCACCAAGCGTGGTCAAGTGCCAGCTCAGCTCTCACTGAGCCCAGCTCAAATCAGCTTTGAGCACACATGGGTCTGAGCATGCTACATTCATTGCCAGCTCCAAGCCTTGCACAGCTGATGGGCAGTGGCACTCACCACACTTCGTGTTTGCACTAAGCCTGTTTATGATTAGGACAGGCAGATCAACACCACATGCCATATGGGATTGTGCAAGAAATGAATCAGTGCTGGGGTCCTGCAGTGCTCTCTGCCTTGTCACCAGGTCCCCATGCTTTAACCCTTAGAGCAGTTGGAGACAGATGTACCAGGGCCTTCTCTATCTGTCTACCCCAGTCAAATGCCATATAGTTTGTGAGTCACGAACTGAGCCAGACCCCATGTTGCCAAACTTCAGTTCTACTTTGTCTCAGTGAAAGTCAGATCCTCTATGCCCTATTCACCAACATTTCCTCTAAACAAGTATCACAGGTATGCATGTATACAGGCCATTCCTGAGTATCATGAGATGTTCCTGAGTTCACGTGATTAATCTGTTTGGGGTGGAATGAAATAATTCATTAGAGTGTGGACCTAAAGACTTATGGAGAACTCCATGACTTTCGCAGACACCTCACACTAAACCATGTCTCCCAAGGCTCTGTCCAACCTGGCCTTGAACACTGCGAGGGATGGAGCATTTATCACTTCTTTGGCCAACCCATTCCAGCGCCTCACCACCCTCACTGTAAAGAACTTCTTCCTTATATCCAACCTGAACTTCCTTTGTTTATGTTTGAACTCATTACCCCTTGTCCTATCACTAGAGTCTCTGATGAAGAGCCTGTCTCCGGCATCCTTGTAGGTCTCCTTCAGATACTGGAAAGCTGCATGGACAGGTTTGACCATGGTAGGCTCCCTTTGTCCTTCTGTGTCAGAGGAAGAGCCTATGTGGGGCCAGCTACATGCTGTGGAGCAAAATTTCCCCAGAGCTAAAAGCCATTGTTAGCCTCTCTACCTCCTGGTGTACCTACATTAGTGTAGGAGGACAGCTCTACGTGTGTGTTTCTGTGAGAGACTTACTTATTTGGTGCAATGAAGTTTTCAAACAAAACTATTTAATTAGACATATTTTAGCCCATGTGCAGGATGAGAACTAAACATGTAACAGCTGTTGCTTAATGCATTCCTAGATAGCACTCTGATATCATGCTGATAAGCACCACTTAAGAACCGAGATAGCAAAAGGGAGGAAGAGAAGTAATGATGTTAGTTACGCAGACAGCAGGTCAGACCTCAGTGTGGGTTTAAAACAACCTGGTTCCGTACCTCCATTTATCACAGCATTTAGAGTAATGCATATAGCACTGAAGCATTTTAATAGCATTTTAAAGGCAGTAAAAGCTTCAGAAAGGTGACATTCAGTGCACTGCTGTACAGCCACCTCTGGAAACTGGAGAGAGACATATCACACGCACCCTTTAAAACCTGAATTGAAAAAATACCCTTTGAAATCCAAATGTTGGTATGGATCCTGTGCTGATTGAGGGTCTGGATGAGACTACACATGTCACACCTATGGCAGATCCTTGGCTTTCACCAAAACACAGTTTACCAAGGGAAAAGCATGAGCTAAATGAAGAGGTGACCACCCCATATTTCCCATATGCTGGCCTCTTCCAGTGCACCATGACGATGCCTCCCATGCTGGGCTCATCCCTTACCCCAAGCTCCAAGAGGTGGCAGCAGCACTCCTGCCTTTGGGAAACCACCCATTTGTAGGACTTGCATCCTCTGTTGCCCTTGGAACAGGACTGACACCTGGAGAAATGCAAGTACACACTGACCCACTCAGACACCCTCAGCATCTCCAAGCTGAATCATCAGTCACAGTAGGCCTAGTCCTGTACACAAACATAGTATAAGGCACAGGAAAAGTGCATTCAAATAAAAAGATAAATTTGTCCCTGGCTTAATTTTTTATGTTAACAGAGAGGGAAAAAACTCTTTCTGGGACTGAGAGGAGTCCTGAGTTTCTGTTCATCCTTCTCAACAGGAAGCTTGCAAGTACTGATCGTTATAAAAGCCCTTGCAGAAATATCAGCTGCATTGATTCTCCTCAGACATCTCTGAGACTAAATGTTAAAGACAAAGCCACAAACATGTGTCAGAGAAAGAAGAATGAAAACAGTAAAGAATACAGTCTTTGTCCCAAAGACATTACAATCTCAACAGACCAAACAAGTGATGAGCAAAAAAAGTAATGAAGAGAAGCAGGAATAGATAAAAGCCCCTTCCATCCTGGGATAAAAAAATCCCGCCAGTTCTCAGTATAACCCTGCAGTGGTGAGACTTTCACCTGAGAAAATTAGCAATGATGTGCAAGTCATGAGTGACGCCAGTGATGACTCCATTACTCTGCTGGGATGGGTGAGCAGGAGCAACTCTAACATGACCATTTCTGAGCACAGATCTCATAGACTCACCAAACAGGGTCTTGTGGTCCCTACGTATGACGGCTTCTTACATTTGGGGCCCTCGTCTTACAGACAAATGAAGGATACAACAAGATTTGAAGGTCTGTCAAAACAATGACATAGCCCAGCAAATACAATTTTTGAAATTGTTAGTGAAAGACACAGGTTTTGGCATCTTGGGATGTCTCAAGGTTTATCTTGATGTGAGCTGGTGTTAGTTTACTGTAACAATTGCTTATGGTCAAGTAATTTCTGCACGATCTGTTCTAGCTTTATCTCTGTGATGCCATGTATGGTAAAATGACAGTAATCACTGCATAACGAGAAATAGCCCTTTCTGTGAATTGAGGCTGGGGAAGTTGTTGTGCAACTTTCAAACTTTACTTGGAATCCATCAAGAAGAAAAGAGAGTGTGGTGAGAAAAAAACATAGAAACAGCCCCAAGCAGGCTTCAGGCCAGAGGAGGAAGTGGCAGACACCATGAACATTGTGCTTCTCCTGTCCTGTCCAACAGGACACTGATGGCTCACGAAGACCTACACCACCAACTACAAGACTCAGAGAGACATCAGGAGGTGAGGACAGCATGGGAGAGGAGGATTAGGTATCAGTAAGTTTTATAAGGGTTTTAAGATTGTTATTATTAACAAGGCTTTTATGTATTAATCTGGATAAGTGTTAGTATTATTGCAATTAATTGTTGCAGCTAGTAATAACTTCATTATGTCTTGACTAAGTTAAGATTTTAATTAAGCTTTTGGCTCTGTGTGAATATAATGTGTTCATCTTTGTCTATAACAGTATTTCAAGTGTAGCATGAGAGAAGCTGTCAGAAACACAAGACTCATTTTATGGCACTCTCGAAGCTGAGAAAACCTCTCCAGACAGTGACTTCAAAGGCCTGAGTAAGCCCTACACAAATCCTTTCCCTTGAAGTTTATTCTGCCTGGTTTACCCATTTGAAGATGCATAGAACAACTGCTATCCTCACAACAGCTACCAGCCTCCAGGTACCTGTTGTCAATCAGGAGCCAAACTCTCAGTCAACAGCCTAGAAAGAGATGCAGAGCTGCAGCTATTCAAGATGCTCCTGCTGGGCCTTTTCCAGGCATCACCCTAAACTAATATGTCACCTACTTCCAGCTTGTGCCCACACACATACACCTACCCCCATCACTTTGCTGGATGTCAGTTTAGCCCTTGGTACCATGTCCTCAATAGGAAGTAAATGCAATCACCAGGGGGGTGCAAGCAACTATTTAGTTCCCAAATAAAAGAAAACAATTTCCCAGCTGCCCAAGCATTCAGAGTTGGAGCAGATTTCCCTAACTGATCAATTGCCATTCGGTTTGGCAAGCAGTCATTCAAAGTAGCTCAGCACCAATGCCAAGGAGGGTCACGGGTCACAGTGTTATCCTTTCAAAATATTTCCACTGTCCTCTTGCTAATCCTCTGGTTTTCGGTCCATCTCCCAGTTTGCTGTGGATAAGCAGTGATTCCAATGAGAGCCAGAGACAACAGCAAAAGGAAGTGGGGATCAGGTCCAATAGTAGAGGGGACATTTACAGCACCTCTGTGGAAGCCAGCTTCCTCCCCTGCCTCCAATCCTCCTATAAATTCATTACAGCTCCTGTTAAGCAGCAGTTTCACCACTTTTATGGCTCTTCTCTGTGGCCTATGAGTGCTTCTGGCACCACGCTACACTCATCAAATGCAGAGTCCAAAAATTCAGAGCTGATGGAGCTGCTAAAGACATGGGAATTATGTCTGGAAGTAGAGAAGAAAAGAAAACTACTCCTGGCCTTGGATGGAAAAGACATGATTAAAAATAAGTTGTTCTGCAACTGATGGAGTTAGTAATGTGTGTTTTCCTACAGTTCCCTTTCCAATCTCCTCCACCATCATACTCCCAGCTAGTAGTTTGGCTGGAGATCTGGGTCCTGTGCTGTGGCTGGCTGGCTTGGAGCTACACTTGCAGTGCTTCATTAGCCAGTATATAGGTGGTCCTCAGCCAACAGGCAGCAGCACCCCAGAGTATATACATCATACATTGTGCTGAGCTCTGCCTTTGGCCTGTGGGGAGGGGTCAGCGAGCAGCATTAACACGGATCTTCCTGCTCCATCCAGCTACCAGTTTGTACAAAACTGTGGGCAGATTCAAATTTTGGAGCTGTCTTACTCGATGACAAATATGGTAGAAATCATACTACGGGCTCAAAAGCTCTTTGGCGACAAAGGGGAAAAATAGAGAGGAAAGAGTAAATGCAAAGCTTTATTTCCCTGGATAATTAGGTTTAAAAACACTGGCAAATAGCACTACTGTGTATTTCACAGACTAATTTAGCACAGGATAGTGAGCAGATTCACTAGAAATCCATTCAGGATATAGTAGACGTGTGAGATCATGCCTACTGCAACCAGTAAGCCCACCTTGTCCCTCTGAGAACTCTGTTTTCCCTGGCTGGTAGCTCTCTGGAGAAGCCCCAGAGAAAACCAGTGAATCTGGAGGAACTGCAATTTGCAGCACTGCAACAGGCTGTGATTTCTGATGGTGATTGAGGTTCCTCCGCCTCTGTTTTTCTGGGCTATTATGTTTTTTCCTGAAGGTGTTGAACACTTGTCATTTGAAAAGCGACTCTGTGTATTGATGGAAGAGGTGAATTGACTTTAGAAAGCTACTCCTTCTGCAACTGCAGCAGTTAACTATTACAGTCTTTTACTGTGCTGATCCAGGGCACAGTAAGGAAAAGCAGAAGAAGAGCGAAGGGACCTTTAGCACCCTTAGCATGTGGTGCCAAAATATGCCAACTGCTTAGTCCACATCAGAAAATATTGTAGATGTCAGGCTGTTTGGGGGTTTTTTTGTTTGAAATTTTGACTTTTTTCCAGATTTATGCCATGCCTTTTCCCCTGACAGTGAAATTTATTCCGGTTATTTTACTCATTTTCACTTCTGTAAATAAGGCCTAGCTACATAATAGCTATGAGGAGAATAGTCCAGTTCAGGGCATCAAAGCTCAGTTTCTTTCTTTGAGATCCCCTGTGTGCCTCATGTCTTAATGAAGACCTCCAGCTATTTTTGATACCCAAAAGCCAAAACACAGAGTGAAAAGGTGAATCTGGTGCCAACCTATGCCCTCCCAGAGAATCCTCCTTGAGAATCTGTACTCCTGGTTGCAGTCAGCTGAAAACCACGTAGGTAGGGAGGTGCTGATACAAAACAGGATGAGAAACAGAGGGATGAACCTTCCCATATTGTTGCCAACAGTAACAAAAGAATTACACCTTCTCAGAGAGAGAAAAAAAACCTACTTTTCTCTTCTCTGTTTTTCTTAGAGGTATTCTGCCCATTTTTTCTGCATCTTGAGATAGTTAGGGTTGGTTTCAATTACAAATCCTTCGCCAGCGTAACTGCTTGGGTTTTAAACCATC